GCGAATTGGATCGCACTTACACGTGTTCATACAGGATGATCGCTTTGCTGCAGACGCCGAATGGCTATCGCACACACCCAATCAGTCACTCTTCCCGCAACCGTTAGCCCGTTCATGCGGGGGTGGTTACGAATCGACACGCGTGGACACGTGTAAGTGTGCAGATCAGATCGCATTTACACGCGTCCCCGCGAGTTTCCGGGCAGCCAGCTACCCATTCACCTAATCATTTTACACACGCAACCATTCCTGATCATGCAAGGTGCTACTGCGCATTTGCAGCAATAACAACGGATCAAAAGGACAACAATAATAGTGAGAATTACGCGAACCTCCCTATTATCCTCATGAGTGTATCAAGACGACAATCAACAGCAAAAGATCATGTACATTCATCCATTCATCCATTCATTCAATACAATACATAGTATCCGGAATTGAAATCGACAAGAACGAGTGTGGGCCGAAACCAAGTCAGGATTCCGAAAAACAAAAGAAAAGAACGAGCGAAGCACCCTGAGCCGAGATCAAAATTTATATACAAAAGCAAAGAGGGGGAAAAGATAAAAGAAACAGCAAATCCGCGTCCATCAACCTCATCTCCCTCTTCCTCTCTCTCTCTCTCCCCGATGCGGACAGTCCGTCGTCGCGCACCAACCCATGAAGTCGTTACCCCGCTTAGTCCTCCCGCACCCGTCAGGCTCGCCCGCGCCCACAGTCCGTCGTGGCCCGCGTCAACCCCGCGCGTTCGGCACCAGCTCGTCGGGTCGCCCGACTCCCACTTCACTCACCTCTTACTTCGCTCGTGACCTGACCCTTACTGATGGCGCTACCCCGAGCTTCCAAGAACCGGTTAAGAGAGCTATCTAATCGCACAGCTGGAATTTATAGCGTGCATGCATGCACAAAGAACACGGAATTACAAGAACTCGGGAGGAGAGAAGGGGGAGGGATTGCCTACGTCTGCATGGCCAGATCGCGGTGTGGGGGACGTAGCCACTCTCCACGCATCGATCCGATCATGCAGACCGCGGCTACCAAGACGCAGCAAAAAGAAAGAGAAGAAGGGCGGGAAGGGCGAAGTTCAAGAAGAAAGATACAGTTACAATGGCGCCCGCCTAAATTACAGTTACACACAAGATTAAGGGCGCCGGCTAATCAGAACTCCGGCGCGGCGCAGCCGCAAAAAGAAGCGCGCAGGCGAAAAACAACGCGCACAAAAAGAAATTTCAATTTCCTAAATTCCTAAGTTCCTATCTAATGCAAAAAGAGGTAAAACGCAAATTCCGAAAGAAAATCCGAAGTCCGGAGAGCCATAGAGGCTCGACAAAATCCAAAAGGAAATTCGAAAGCGAAATTCAAAAGAAGAATCGAAAAGAACGAAGCAAAATTCCCGCGCGTTGTCCGCGCCCAAAAAGTCCGAAACCGAAACAGAAGAAGCGACGCCAACATTTATTTATCGCGCGCATGACAGCGCGCCAGCCATACAGCCAATCAACCAATCGATCGTCCCGGGGCCCGGCCGGGTCTGAACCAGCCATCCGAAAGGAACCGTCACAAAAAGACGAAGAAGCGAGGACACCGATGCAATTTCCCATCCATCCCAATCTCCCGTAATTGGCCCATCCTTCCCAGCTTAGGACCCCTCGTCGCTACCGCGCAGAAAATCGCGCGATGCGGAAATCGGTTCGTCACAACGCTTCATCCTAGACAACGTAAGGACCTTAATGGAGTCTGTGCATTATATAGTAATCGCATCAACGCAGCAATCCTATTCTTCGACTTCGATAAGACATACGATCAGGTAAACTGGAGTTTTCTGCAACAATGTATGCAAGCTATATGAATTGGGCCCAACTTTCGAAAGTGGATTCAAGTGCTCTACAGGGATGCTCATGGTCAAGTGCAAGTCAACGGTCACCTGTTGAAACGCTACCCAATGTCGAGATCGGTCAGACAAGGAGATCCCCTACCCAAGGAGATCCCCTACCCGCACCCATCTTCTTATTTATCATGGAAGTGGTGGCCTCTTTCCTTAGAAAAGATCCGTCGATTCAACGCCTCACTGCAGGGCCGGGCAATCGGTATCCCAACTACGATCCTATTCGCGGACGACCTAATGGTCTTGATAAGAGTGTCAGACTCATCTTTTGAAGCACCGACAAGAGCAATGCACACTTTCCAGCTAGCCTCAGAGATGGAAATAAATTGGTCCACGACGGTAGGCTGGTGGGTGACCGCTCCTGACAAGGGGTGTCCGATACCAGTCACCTTCCCAGAGGCGATGCAATGGGTGACCTCCTCTGAACCGCTGAGATAACTAGGGATAATTATAAGAGAAGCTGGCCCTCGCCATTCAATGGCACCTGAAATTCTGTCACAGATGCTTCAAAAATTAGGATCCTGGTCATCAGTATACACATTACTGTATGGACGTGCACTTATCCTAAAGCGTCAATCTTCTCCATGCTGTGGTACGAGGGAACAATCTGCACTCCTCCATCATAAACAGAAAAAGAATTGAGACGAAAGGCAGCAGCCTACCTATGGACAGCCAACCAGTCTAACCCCGATTTTTTTAATTATTATAATTTTCTTTTAACTCCCTCCGGTGCTAGTGGTGTTGGTAAAAGCAGACACCTGGATTGAAAGTAGGATGGAAGCATGTTCTCCGAACAAAGGACAGGCGAGGATTAGGCATCATGGACCCAGAGTTGCAGCCCTGCAAACTAAATGGGTGGTGAAGCTGCTTACCAACCACGACCTCCCATGGGCGCCTCTAGCCCTGGATGGGGTCAGATGTTTGGCCAAGTACAGAACCCCACACAACATGACGGGCCTATTTTGGATTCTCTGCAAAAAAACTGGGCCAAAACAGGTAGGGAGATGAACAGGACAGACCCCAGCATCATGAATGACCAAGAAACCAACTACTGGGCGCAGTTAATGAAGCTATGGGGGGAAGTGTTCTCAGCGCGGATACGCCAACCTCAGACAAGGGAAGAGGTCCTACGCCAGCCCCTCTTCTGCAAACCACTGGCTCAAGGACGAAAACGGGTAACCAAGAACGCTAACGTCACAAGACACGGGTAGAACAGGAGTGTGGCAGATCAAACACCTTTGGTCGGAGGAGGGCCAATGGAAAACAGCAAGGCGCCTTCAGGGAGAACTCAAAGGGAGTCATAGACTGTTGGAGAATCTTAACGACATCCTCTCTCCATCCCGCCAGAGTGGAAGTGTCTGCCAGAGAAAAGGCCTCAATGGGGGTACGGAGA